AAAAAAAAAAAAAAAATATTTTTACTCAAAGCAAAATTTGTATAAATTGTTTCTTTATTTTTAATACATTTATTGACAAATATATAACTTAATTTATAAAATGTATTTATAAATAACATATGTACCCTTAAAAATATCAAATATTTTTAAAAAAACTACAACTTTTTAATTAAAGAAATATTCAAAAACCTCGATATAGCGCACTCGTAAATAGCGTTACCCGCGTAAAGCGTCAGATGAGAGGATCTTCGCCATTGGTATTGAATAGAGAACTCAAATATCTGTAAATTATTAAATGTACGATGTCTCTTGTAAACGTTATCATCATTGTTTGAGATACTTCGATTTTGCGTCACACTTCAATATAATACTAATTTCAAGGACGATAAACTGTGGCGCTAATTCGAAGTTTAACTGTGTACTAATGAGATTTGGTAGTAGTATTTGTCGTCGCTATTTAGGGGAGTGTTACATAGAGATGTTTTTATAGTTTGAGATGATTTAGTTTAGCGCAACACCCGATTTAGTAGCATTTGAATGTAATTTTTGTGATTTAAATTTTTTTTTTTTTTATTGATGTAAAGCGGAAGGCGTGCAATTTTTTATTTTATTTTATTGTTTAATTCGATAATAACAAAGGAATAAATGGAGATAATTATGCTTTAGAAGAACGAGATTTCTGTATACTTTATATAAGAGGTCAGCATTTAAAATAGTCAACACTCACGACATCTTTGTCTACAATTTTTATCATTTACGATTGTTCAAAATCATCAGCTGTGGATGATGATGATAAAAAAAATATTTTACTTCCTCTTATTTTTAAATTTTTTAATATAAAATAAATATTTGCATTTTTTTATGAAGAAAAAACGATTATAATTTATTATTATTTATTTTTTTAATTTACGGTTTCATTTCCCTTCACAAATATTAAATTTTCGTGTTTAGATATAATTTTACACAGAAAAAAAGTTATGCTTTACTGCATTCTTCCATATGGTTCAATGCCTTAGGGTCAAGGTTCTTCTACTCCTTCTAGAATCATTTTGGCCTCGATATTAGGCTCCAAACTTGTTTAATTTATAATTGTTAATGTTAATATTTGGTGAATGTAAGGATACATAAAATGTTCGCATTATACATGTATAATATCTTTTTAATATCAAAATTTATACAAAACGTAAGGGTGTATAATTACAAAAAATACCATATTTTATAATAAGAGTTTTTATTTTATTTTATTGTTTAATTCGATAATAACAAAGGAATAAATGGAGATAATTATGCTTTAGAAGAACGAGATTTCTGTATACTTTATATAAGAGGTCAGCATTTAAAATAGTCAACACTCACGACATCTTTGTCTACAATTTTTATCATTTACGATTGTTCAAAATCATCAGCTGTGGATGATGATGATAAAAAAAATATTTTACTTCCTCTTATTTTTAAATTTTTTAATATAAAATAAATATTTGCATTTTTTTATGAAGAAAAAACGATTATAATTTATTATTATTTATTTTTTTAATTTACGGTTTCATTTCCCTTCACAAATATTAAATTTTCGTGTTTAGATATAATTTTACACAGAAAAAAAGTTATGCTTTACTGCATTCTTCCATATGGTTCAATGCCTTAGGGTCAAGGTTCTTCTACTCCTTCTAGAATCATTTTGGCCTCGATATTAGGCTCCAAACTTGTTTAATTTATAATTGTTAATGTTAATATTTGGTGAATGTAAGGATACATAAAATGTTCGCATTATACATGTATAATATCTTTTTAATATCAAAATTTATACAAAACGTAAGGGTGTATAATTACAAAAAATACCATATTTTATAATAAAAATATATTTTTAAAAATCTATATACATGCTTTATGAGGTTTAAATCCAACTGATGTTCCTTCTGAAACACGTATCGAGTGCGATGTTACTCGTAAAATAATTTAATTTTATTAGAAAAATTTATGATTATGACCTTAAATATTGGTTTATAAACTTTCTATGTTACCTTCGACACTTACAGTTACAGTTTGTCACCGATAACCGGGCCGAAATTGCGCTTTTTTAGCAGAGAAAACAACGAAGTTCCGTTATAACGCCACGTCGCTTATATTCTGTAGCGAATCGTTATCTGATTCTTCAATAACGAGAGAACTCGGACGGTGTAGGTAGGTGAAAGAAGATTGATTCAACTTCTCGAGGATGCAATGATCGATGGTTAAATCACCCAAAGATTTTGATTTCTTTAGTAATTTCCTTTGAGGAGGTTTGTACAAACCATTAACGGTGCCATAAAGGGCAACGCTACGTCTCCTCCTATTATTCAATTCTAGATCTGATAACCTATCCCTACACCTGATGGTGCCATAAATGGAAGTTGGACAGTTCATTTGCCATGCTAGATATTGATTAAAGGTAGCAACGTCGAATTCGCTCTTGTGTCCATGAAATTGTCCATACAAGGCCTCCATTTGTCTACAAGTATTCCAGTTATGTTTAACGTCTTTAAGGTACGAAGAATCTAGAGATAGACTTCTGTTGATTCGTTTATTTGGATCATCCTGTATAGCGCACCTGTACAGGTAATCGTTACCTGAGCTATTGTTCTCCTTTCCGCACGAAACAGAGCTTAAATGACTATATATAGTTCCCTAATGGTTTAAAATGTAATTAATAATGAGCCATATGTATAAAAATTTATAATGATTGATGCTTAAAATATTATTAATTAAACTCCTTACGACTTGAAAGTTTTCCAATCTGTGAAGCGTTCTCTTCTCCTTCCTCCAACTTCCGTATAAAAGATGGATACAAACCACGCACAAAACCTTAAAATATAATTAATTTTTAAAATATTAATTTAAATTAAACGTATTTAATTAATATTTAAAGATGATTTATTAACTTACATTAAGTACAGCTCTGCAGACGTAGAATACGAATTCGGCTAAACCGTACGGAGTTCCTAAGTCCTAAAATGCAATTAAATATGAAAATTTATGCTTTTGTATAGATTTTTTTAATGCTTTTAATTGTTAATAATATAAATATTCACCCAATAATAAAGGCTCATATATAGAACAAGGCCACATTCTGGGAAGAAGAAGGCTAACATCACTATCAACCATATGAGGAGATATTTACAATGTTTCTAAATAAAAATAAATAAATAATATATAATTATAACAAACTGAAATAATATATAATGAGTTCAACCATCTCTCATTAAAATATTACGGTCACTTAATTAAGATAATTTACTTTTTTATTATATTTAACGCCTACACCGCCCAATTAAATAAGTTTCGCTACTATAAAACACACCACTTACTCCAAATTAATAATTATAATAATAAAAAAAAAAGCCAACTGTTTAAACTAGAATATAATTATTTAAATTATAAATGTATGTCTGTCTGTCCGTTAACTGTTTTAAAAAATATATACGCATATATAACAGGCATTATCATAGTTTCATCTGGTGTACGAATTGACTCATTAAACTAATTAACTTCACTTTATCAGTTAACTTTCACCATTTTTAGAGTGGAAAAAGTATCAAAACAATTAATTTGATGAGTTTAGATGGTAAAAATGATCAAAAATAAAGCGCATTCGGCCATTTTTTAAAGATAAATTATACTTAATTAAGTAAAGTGTGTACTTATATTTTTGCAGGTCACTCATTAAACTCCATACATCTAAATTTGCTTCATTAAATTTAATACCAACGTAAAGTACTGTATTTTATTTATTTTTACTTTTCTGGCTGTTATATATAACAGAGGAAAAGCTTTTAAACATTTTAGAAATTATTTTAGACTTTTATATGTCCTCTTCTTTATTTTAACCCAATTGATTGCCTTGTGTTTACATTTAAAAATAGTTAAAATTGTAATTAACGTAAACTAATGCATTGTGTTCTATGCAAATTAACGTGCGTTAAATTTGATTTTAACTCACATTTAATGGGTAAATTTATAAAAAGCATAAGTTTAAATAATAATAAACATGTTAAAGAATTAAAATAATTTGACAACGAAGCGATCTACGAATTTGAATTTTAACGAAGTATTTTCGGGTCCTGTTTTTATATCAATTTTTCAATAATTTCGATCATTTGAGTAATAAATATGTCTTAAACTTATTTAAACTTGAAAATATCACAATTTTAAAATTTCTTATAATTAAGAACAAAGGAAATTTTGAAAAAAAACATTTTTTACCAGAAAGAAGAGGGGCCCACGTTTGCACCTGACAAGAGACACGTCTCATCTCTCTAAGACGTTAATTGGGGCCAACTGATAAATGTTCTTAAATCTAATTAAAAAACTTCAAAATGGGTTCCAAATTACTTCTGAGAGAGATGATATTTAGCGAAGTTAATCACAAATATGGAATCCTACCCTTCTTCGAAGTCGATAATTCAAATAAGAATATCTTTTTTTTTTTTAGATACAAGACTAAACTTTGAGACCCTTTTTTGTTCAGGGCCCTTCTACCTCTCTACTTTGGATGCCCTTCGTAATTTTAACACAGTAAAGTGATAACGTAGAAACTGAATATACTTAAATACCGTATATCTACATGTAATATATATATATATTGATAAATTGCATTTTTTAAATTAATTTATTTGAAATTTTCTACATTTCCTCAAAATAACAACAAAAAAAAAGTTTTATGTATAATACATAAATGATATTTTTCCACTTTTGTAGCCATTAATTGAAGCGTAACGAAATCATACTTCCCACCTATACAGCATATCACTGCACACGATTGCCATCGTGACGCCATGTTTTTCCCCCTTTCTTTCTTTATTTTTTTCATTTATTACGCCATATTTCTCGACGTATGTATACAATAATAATATTCTTTACGTAATAAACTCTTTTATGTTTAGCAGTAAAGAGAGCGGGTAGTTTTTCTCGCAGGGGGGATGGAGGTAGGAAAACTTCGTTCTCGTTACGTTACGCTCGAGCAATGGCGAGACTTTCCCACCGAAAAGCTGGCGGGTCACGTGACACAGGTGCCCAGATACGTGATTTGAAGATAGAAATATCAGTAATGTCGTTACTTACAAGCATCAGACCCACCAAAAGGAACAACGAGACTAAGAACGTGCAGAAGTATCCGGCAGTTAAGATGTACGCCGGTGAAGGTAACTTATCTGCAATAAAATGTTTTAAAAAATTTAAATATATATGTATAATTTTGTATATTTCTGCTTATTTTATTGTTTAAATTTACCTTCTGCTTCTATAATCCATCCGAGTTCCATCCCGAAGGCTGTTAAGTAGGTCACCTGGAAAAAATAGGTATTAAAAAAAACACTAAAATTTAAGGAAAATGGTGAAGAAACTCTGTAATTTTACAATATAATTATAAAGAAAATGCTTTTTTTGTGTATTTTTTTGTATTTTTGTACAATGCCGTGACTTCTTTATAGCTTCACGCGTGCAAACTCAATTACTAAGAGTTTAATTTTTAAAATTCTTCGCTATGACGTCAAATAAGTCTTTAGCGAATCGAATTTAAAATATATTGATACGTTACAATTCTCGTGAGATTTTTTCATTCTCTTCTCGTCGCGTGTCGCGTCGAGAAGAAATGCCATTTTTATTGAAAAAAAAATATATATCCAGCTTTGAAACGCCTAAAATTATTTTATTTTATTAAAAAATGAACATAATAATAATAATAAACCATTTTTAAATTAATTATAATTCATTTTATTTTTGTTAATTTCTCTTTAATGGAGAAAGCAACAAAGCATTGTTCCCTCTTAACAAACCGGAAACCGCTTTATTATGAGAAAAGTTTAATAGTAAATTCCAGGAGTTTCGCTTAAAGCGGATGTTAAACTATGACGTCACACATGTCTTTAACGAATCGTATTTAAAATATATCGATACGACTCAATTCTCGCGAGATTTTCTCATTCGCATTGCGTTGCAATGGAGTTTTTGATTTAAAAAACCACAACTTTAGTACGTCGAAAATTCTTTTATTTTATTAAAAAAGAAAAAATCATAAATAGTTTTAAGATGAATTTTTTAAGCTAATTTCTGTAGTGAAAAAGAAAACAAAGATTGTTTGGTCTTAAAAGACCGGATACTGCTTTATTATGAGAAGTTCTTAGGATGTCAGCAACCCTTCGCTACCATCAATCACCCCTTCCTGTGTTAAGAAGGGGATTCTATGAAGTTTTTTTTAAACATAGAGCTACCGAATGGCAACATTTGTGAATGGGAGAGATCTCACGCTAAGAAAATGTCACGTTTTATCATCGTACAGAAGACTCCAACTTCTTCGACCTTAATTGACTTATAACCCTTGTTTGAATGGCATTATCTTACTATTGTTATACATGAATAAAAAAGAAAAAAAGGTTATTGTCCTTACCATTAAATAATTGAAGATATGGTATAACTAAACGAGGAACAAATTTACGTCATAGAAACCCAAACAAAGCGCGAAAAGTCAGTTTACATTCTCAATTTCATTAAATTCAATGGTGTTGTAACGTTTAAATGTGTTTGTTTGTTAAATTAAATAACGTATTTTAAAAATACAAATGTATTTAAGGTTAGAAGATAATTTCCCTTATAAAAAAAAGTCGAAAAAACGCTTAATTATTTAAAAATATAAATACAAGTTATCCATCTGTCAGTTATAAATCTCATTTAAGAAAATGTAAGGTGACCTTTGCTGTAACGTTGATCCTCGTTACTAAATACTGACCTTGAAAACATCATTTAATGAAGGGAATCTCCGCTTCAGCCTTTCTTTCATCGTAGGATTGATTTAATAGTTACGCAAAGATAATTATTTGTAAAAAAAATATAGGCCTATATACATATTTTAATTTATTAGAATGCTTTCTCTCAAGACACATTCTTATATATATATATATATCATTATACATATCACGTCAAATACTTCAAAAGCGAGGACATATCAAGCAAAAAAACCCCTCTAGGGAAGTAAAAGAACTGACCTTACCACGTGACTTGGGTAATGTTGACCCATTTGAAGTGATTTAAGTACGAAGAGGGCATTGTTAAATGTAAAGAAAGTCTTAAAGTTGACAAGAAACAAACTTCACACAANGCTTACACCGAAATACTTCGTTCTGAGTATAGGGCTTTATAAAAGAGACTTAATATGTTAAAAACTCTTATATAAAAAAAATTTATATTTAAGCAAACACATTGGAATTATAATCTTACCGTTGAATAAATCCCAGTTAAAATACCACCCAAGTATGGGGTGCAGCAACTTAGGAGCTTAATCCATACTTCCAAATCCATTATCGCTCGTTAATCCACATGACATACACAAACTGATCCACATATGGCTCCTACTTATCGTAGTCAGTTGTCAACAGTGTCGACAGACAAACCAACGTGTGTCATGTGACCATAATAATAATAAATTTCTTGATCATGCGCATTGATGAAGAAAATGGCGACGTGCAGATATTTTTCTTGCTGTTTTTTTTGTTCCTTCCTTTAATTTTTTTTATAAGTAGACGAAGGCTGATATATTGTTAATTAAACTAGAAAAGGTAGCTAAAGGCATTAAAGTTAATCTTGGTAACGTGACCTATTTAATCTTAAATTGCATTTTTGTTCTCGTTTAAAACTTCGTAATAATTTATGATCATATATCCGTATATTTCCTTAAAGATATAAGATGATAATAATAATAAATTAATATAACACAGCAAAAAATTAATAATCGACTAATTTTTTCACTTAAAAATTTATATTTTAAAAAAGTAATAATAAAAGAAAATATTTAATTTTCAATTTAATTTAATATTAAACATTTTAAGTAAAAAAAAAACTTTATTATATAACTTAAACCGTTATTTTGTATTAATTTACATGTGCTGCCATCTTGTATCGCTTTATAAAATAAATTTATAAAATTTTATTTTTAGTTTAAAAAATTAAATAAAATATTCATTTTATGTTTTAAAATTTTATAATTTAAATATATAAACGTTATAATATATTCGTTGCATATAAAATTAAATGTAATGTAATATGGTTAGATAAATTTCATTTTTTAAATCTAAATTGCTTGAATTCGAAATTAAATTTGTTTTATTTGAAAAATTATAATTTAATATTTTTACATCAAGATATAAAAAATCTGAATAAATTAAAACTTTATTTTAGATTAAAACGCGGGGGAAAAAATTAAATTAAATTTTCGATACTGATTGGTTAATTTAAATTTACGAAAAACCAATGAGAGAGCGTTTACGACTTTTGAATTTTAAACAGGATTAAACTCATTTCGTGCCATGTTATTTGATATTTTTATGTCAATTATTGAAACTATTGTAAACAAAGTTATCTGCGTGTTTAAAATGAATTTAACTTCCATTTTACTTTTTCGAATGATGTGTAATGTTAACAAGTCAGTAACCACAATGTTGAAAGGGGGGAGATCGTGCAGATGTAACTTTTCCTCACCTGCTCGACTGAAAAGCTGTACAACGACCTAATTTTGTGCGGGTCGTTACGAAAGAATCATGTTGTTCGATTGTCTCGAAACTATTTTCTTTGTCAAATATACAAACATCTGCTATTGGATACTAAACACGAACACGTGGATGTTCTTACATAAGAAATTGCAATGTACAATAGAAGAATAACTATAGACAGTATTGTACTTTAGCACAGTAGCCTACTAGCCTACTGTTTAAACAGTAAACAGGGGTTCAAATTTGCTAGAATTCAAAAGATTTTATTGTAGATCTGCTTTTATTTTCTACAATATACAGATTCTTGTTTGCTTCAATTATACATTAAAAATTAAACTTGACCAATGGAAAACATTTTAATTCTTTATTGGTCAATAGGAAGAGATTTCTTTATTCTTGTGAACAACAACATATTGAGAAAGAAAATGTCTATTTATATGTAAAAATAAATGAGATTTAATGTTTTGATATATTCAAATAGTCTTTTAGCTTAAAAAGCGAGATATAATAGATTGATATAGTTTGGCATTTTAGGTTAACGCGGTTAATCTAAAATGTTACTTGGAGGAAGATATTTAATTTGATAGAAACTATAATAGCGAGATTGCGGCCGAAGTTTTCATCTCTCAAACGTGAACGTCGAACGTCGAGCACCTCTTACAAGATAGCGGCGCTCGACGTTCACAAAAATTCAGCTGCAACCTCTCTAATAAGTTTCTTTTACTTCAATAGTTTATCTAGAATAACTCAAATATCAGTTAGAGATAATATTATTGAGAATTTTTAAAGCTTCTATATGGATTTTATATCCTTCTGGATGGATTCGGAGCTTCTGGTAATTTAAGAATTCTTCCTTGGTTTAATAAGAAAATATTACGGAGGAACTCGTCCCACATTCCCGATTAGTTTTTAAAGTAATAATAATATTTTAAAAGTTACTTCATTCAATGTTTAGATATTTATATTCTTATCCAACCAAAGAACAATGAGCAATCAAAGGATCATCGACTTCTTCATGAGACTTGCTGAATTTATATTGTAACATAATAAGGATTTCAAGAGCAAATTACAAAACGCACTTCTCAAATTCTATAAGCTTATCCAAGGCCTTTTAGAGCTCGAGGAAGGGCCACTCACATCTTTTGAGGTCATCAATAAGTAGGCCTACATAAAAAAAAAATTAAATAAATCAAATGTTTTCCCTTAATAATAAGTAAATGCGATGAATAATTTGTAACATGTTTTTGTGGCAGTAGTAAATATGAGGACCAAGAGAAATGGCTCTATTAATTAATTAAAAACTTGTTGCCAGGTAAATGGAATCAAGCTCTGAGAAAGCTTTAGAAAATTGTCACCATAGGTCAGTGTTTCTCAAACTTTTTTGTCAGGTGGCACACTTGAAATTATTAAACAAAATTCACGGCACCCCTATTATTATTATTATTATTCATTATTTTGCTTTTTACGGTTAGTAAAGATATGAAGGATGAGAAGACTGAAAAAAATAAAAGTTTTTTATTAAAGTAAGTAAGTTNAGAGAAAACAACGAAGTTCCGTTATAACGCCACGTCGCTTATATTCTGTAGCGAATCGTTATCTGATTCTTCAATAACGAGAGAACTCGGACGGTGTAGGTAGGTGAAAGAAGATTGATTCAACTTCTCGAGGATGCAATGATCGATGGTTAAATCACCCAAAGATTTTGATTTCTTTAGTAATTTCCTTTGAGGAGGTTTGTACAAACCATTAACGGTGCCATAAAGGGCAACGCTACGTCTCCTCCTATTATTCAATTCTAGATCTGATAACCTATCCCTACACCTGATGGTGCCATAAATGGAAGTTGGACAGTTCATTTGCCATGCTAGATATTGATTAAAGGTAGCAACGTCGAATTCGCTCTTGTGTCCATGAAATTGTCCATACAAGGCCTCCATTTGTCTACAAGTATTCCAGTTATGTTTAACGTCTTTAAGGTACGAAGAATCTAGAGATAGACTTCTGTTGATTCGTTTATTTGGATCATCCTGTATAGCGCACCTGTACAGGTAATCGTTACCTGAGCTATTGTTCTCCTTTCCGCACGAAACAGAGCTTAAATGACTATATATAGTTCCCTAATGGTTTAAAATGTAATTAATAATGAGCCATATGTATAAAAATTTATAATGATTGATGCTTAAAATATTATTAATTAAACTCCTTACGACTTGAAAGTTTTCCAATCTGTGAAGCGTTCTCTTCTCCTTCCTCCAACTTCCGTATAAAAGATGGATACAAACCACGCACAAAACCTTAAAATATAATTAATTTTTAAAATATTAATTTAAATTAAACGTATTTAATTAATATTTAAAGATGATTTATTAACTTACATTAAGTACAGCTCTGCAGACGTAGAATACGAATTCGGCTAAACCGTACGGAGTTCCTAAGTCCTAAAATGCAATTAAATATGAAAATTTATGCTTTTGTATAGATTTTTTTAATGCTTTTAATTGTTAATAATATAAATATTCACCCAATAATAAAGGCTCATATATAGAACAAGGCCACATTCTGGGAAGAAGAAGGCTAACATCACTATCAACCATATGAGGAGATATTTACAATGTTTCTAAATAAAAATAAATAAATAATATATAATTATAACAAACTGAAATAATATATAATGAGTTCAACCATCTCTCATTAAAATATTACGGTCACTTAATTAAGATAATTTACTTTTTTATTATATTTAACGCCTACACCGCCCAATTAAATAAGTTTCGCTACTATAAAACACACCACTTACTCCAAATTAATAATTATAATAATAAAAAAAAAGCCAACTGTTTAAACTAGAATATAATTATTTAAATTATAAATGTATGTCTGTCTGTCCGTTAACTGTTTTAAAAAATATATACGCATATATAACAGGCATTATCATAGTTTCATCTGGTGTACGAATTGACTCATTAAACTAATTAACTTCACTTTATCAGTTAACTTTCACCATTTTTAGAGTGGAAAAAGTATCAAAACAATTAATTTGATGAGTTTAGATGGTAAAAATGATCAAAAATAAAGCGCATTCGGCCATTTTTTAAAGATAAATTATACTTAATTAAGTAAAGTGTGTACTTATATTTTTGCAGGTCACTCATTAAACTCCATACATCTAAATTTGCTTCATTAAATTTAATACCAACGTAAAGTACTGTATTTTATTTATTTTTACTTTTCTGGCTGTTATATATAACAGAGGAAAAGCTTTTAAACATTTTAGAAATTATTTTAGACTTTTATATGTCCTCTTCTTTATTTTAACCCAATTGATTGCCTTGTGTTTACATTTAAAAAATAGTTAAAATTGTAATTAACGTAAACTAATGCATTGTGTTCTATGCAAATTAACGTGCGTTAAATTTGATTTTAACTCACATTTAATGGGTAAATTTATAAAAAGCATAAGTTTAAATAATAATAAACATGTTAAAGAATTAAAATAATTTGACAACGAAGCGATCTACGAATTTGAATTTTAACGAAGTATTTTCGGGTCCTGTTTTTATATCAATTTTTCAATAATTTCGATCATTTGAGTAATAAATATGTCTTAAACTTATTTAAACTTGAAAATATTACAATTTTAAAATTTCTTATAATTAAGAACAAAGGAAATTTTGAAAAAAAACATTTTTTACCAGAAAGAAGAGGGGCCCACGTTTGCACCTGACAAGAGACACGTCTCATCTCTCTAAGACGTTAATTGGGGCCAACTGATAAATGTTCTTAAATCTAATTAAAAAACTTCAAAATGGGTTCCAAATTACTTCTGAGAGAGATGATATTTAGCGAAGTTAATCACAAATATGGAATCCTACCCTTCTTCGAAGTCGATAATTCAAATAAGAATATCTTTTTTTTTTTAGATACAAGACTAAACTTTGAGACCCTTTTTTGTTCAGGGCCCTTCTACCTCTCTACTTTGGATGCCCTTCGTAATTTTAACACAGTAAAGTGATAACGTAGAAACTGAATATATTTAAATACCGTATATCTACATGTAATATATATATATATTGATAAATTGCATTTTTTAAATTAATTTATTTGAAATTTTCTACATTTCCTCAAAATAACAACAAAAAAAAAGTTTTATGTATAATACATAAATGATATTTTTCCACTTTTGTAGCCATTAATTGAAGCGTAACGAAATCATACTTCCCACCTATACAGCATATCACTGCACACGATTGCCATCGTGACGCCATGTTTTTCCCCCTTTCTTTCTTTATTTTTTTCATTTATTACGCCATATTTCTCGACGTATGTATACAATAATAATATTCTTTACGTAATAAACTCTTTTATGTTTAGCAGTAAAGAGAGCGGGTAGTTTTTCTCGCAGGGGGGATGGAGGTAGGAAAACTTCGTTCTCGTTACGTTACGCTCGAGCAATGGCGAGACTTTCCCACCGAAAAGCTGGCGGGTCACGTGACACAGGTGCCCAGATACGTGATTTGAAGATAGAAATATCAGTAATGTCGTTACTTACAAGCATCAGACCCACCAAAAGGAACAACGAGACTAAGAACGTGCAGAAGTATCCGGCAGTTAAGATGTACGCCGGTGAAGGTAACTTATCTGCAATAAAATGTTTTAAAAAATTTAAATATATATGTATAATTTTGTATATTTCTGCTTATTTTATTGTTTAAATTTACCTTCTGCTTCTATAATCCATCCGAGTTCCATCCCGAAGGCTGTTAAGTAGGTCACCTGGAAAAAATAGGTATTAAAAAAAACACTAAAATTTAAGGAAAATGGTGAAGAAACTCTGTAATTTTACAATATAATTATAAAGAAAATGCTTTTTTTGTGTATTTTTTTGTATTTTTGTACAATGCCGTGACTTCTTTATAGCTTCACGCGTGCAAACTCAATTACTAAGAGTTTAATTTTTAAAATTCTTCGCTATGACGTCAAATAAGTCTTTAGCGAATCGAATTTAAAATATATTGATACGTTACAATTCTCGTGAGATTTTTTCATTCTCTTCTCGTCGCGTGTCGCGTCGAGAAGAAATGCCATTTTTATTGAAAAAAAAATATATATCCAGCTTTGAAACGCCTAAAATTATTTTATTTTATTAAAAAATGAACATAATAATAATAATAAACCATTTTTAAATTAATTATAATTCATTTTATTTTTGTTAATTTCTCTTTAATGGAGAAAGCAACAAAGCATTGTTCACTCTTAACAAACCGGAAACCGCTTTATTATGAGAAAAGTTTAATAGTAAATTCCAGGAGTTTCGCTTAAAGCGGATGTTAAACTATGACGTCACACATGTCTTTAACGAATCGTATTTAAAATATATCGATACGACTCAATTCTCGCGAGATTTTCTCATTCGCATTGCGTTGCAATGGAGTTTTTGATTTAAAAAACCACAACTTTAGTACGTCGAAAATTCTTTTATTTTATTAAAAAAGAAAAAATCATAAATAGTTTTAAGATGAATTTTTTAAGCTAATTTCTGTAGTGAAAAAGAAAACAAAGATTGTTTGGTCTTAAAAGACCGGATACTGCTTTATTATGAGAAGTTCTTAGGATGTCAGCAACCCTTCGCTACCATCAATCACCCCTTCCTGTGTTAAGAAGGGGATTCTATGAAGTTTTTTTTAAACATAGAGCTACCGAATGGCAACATTTGTGAATGGGAGAGATCTCACGCTAAGAAAATGTCACGTTTTATCATCGTACAGAAGACTCCAACTTCTTCGACCTTAATTGACTTATAACCCTTGTTTGAATGGCATTATCTTACTATTGTTATACATGATTAAAAAAGAAAAAAAGGTTATTGTCCTTACCATTAAATAATTGAAGATATGGTATAACTAAACGAGGAACAAATTTACGTCATAGAAACCCAAACAAAGCGCGAAAAGTCAGTTTACATTCTCAATTTCATTAAATTCAATGGTGTTGTAACGTTTAAATGTGTTTGTTTGTTAAATTAAATAACGTATTTTAAAAATACAAATGTATTTAAGGTTAGAAGATAATTTCCCTTATAAAAAAAAGTCGAAAAAACGCTTAATTATTTAAAAATATAAATACAAGTTATCCATCTGTCAGTTATAAATCTCATTTAAGAAAATGTAAGGTGACCTTTGCTGTAACGTTGATCCTCGTTACTAAATACTGACCTTGAAAACATCATTTAATGAAGGGAATCTCCGCTTCAGCCTTTCTTTCATCGTAGGATTGATTTAATAGTTACGCAAAGATAATTATTTGTAAAAAAAATATAGGCCTATATACATATTTTAATTTATTAGAATGCTTTCTCTCAAGACACATTCTTATATATATATATATCATTATACATATCACGTCAAATACTTCAAAAGCGAGGACATATCAAGCAAAAAAACCCCTCTAGGGAAGTAAAAGAACTGACCTTACCACGTGACTTGGGTAATGTTGACCCATTTGAAGTGATTTAAGTACGAAGAGGGCATTGTTAAATGTAAAGAAAGTCTTAAAGTTGACAAGAAACAAACTTCACACAATCGAATATTTCGTAATATATTTTATTAAAACTGTTTTAGTTATTTTTTTCTTCCTTTATTGATATGGCAAGGTCATGTGATCTTGCTTAATTAAATTCTAAGGGAAATATTGTCAAATTCTGGGTCGTTAATGTCAATAACCGGTAATACTAGATAACTACAAGATTACTATGTGCCAAATATTTGTGTGTAAAGAAAATATTTTTAACTGTAAATAAACGAGTGTTATACAAAACTGAAAGGTGCCAATGCATTTAAGAACGTATAAATTATATATATATACTGTATACATATATATATTTTTTTATAGAAACAATTGTGATTAGATAACAATAGGAAATATTTTTAGTTTATTTTAAGTAACGACACCGAAAGAGAACGATTATAGAAAGAAATAAAGGACGGAGAAAAGCTTTAAAAACTTTTGCTACTTTCTATCATACGAGCAAAAGTTTTATTGTGTTTATCTTTCTGCTCAATTAAATATTAATATAAAATTTATAAATATTAAATCTTTAACCGTAATTCCGGTAAATTTACATGTTACGGGTCATGATATAGCGACCTACCACCACCCATTTAACCCGTTTAATATTTTTGTAGCCATCGTAGTAATATTTTTTTTTTTTTATTGCCAAATATTGTAATGGTGAATATACCTTTTCCTTGTATACAAATTGATTATTTGGACCGTAGAAACGTTTACATGCTACATACTTAATGTTAGTATTGGTTATAATCATGTAATTCTATTGTATTATCTTATAATAGGACAATGCCCTTATTAATGACGATAAATATTGGATAATAAGAGGCAGAAAAATAGCTCCGGATCAATTTTTTCGATAAATTATTTAATTGTGTGAAAGTTTAAAAATACATGTTATAAAGTGAATTAAAATAGTTAAAAATTAAAATTAAATAGTTTAATATCTAAAAAAAATTTATATTTAAGCAAACACATTGGAATTATAATCTTACCGTTGAATAAATCCCAGTTAAAATACCACCCAAATATGGGGTGCAGCAACTTAGGAGCTTAATCCATACTTCCAAATCCATTATCGCTCGTTAATCCACATGACATACACAAACTGATCCACATATGGCTCCTACTTATCGTAGTCAGTTGTCAACAGTGTCGACAGACAAACCAACGTGTGTCATGTGACCATAATAATAATAAATTTCTTGATCATGCGCATTGATGAAGAAAATGGCGACGTGCAGATATTTTTCTTGCTGTTTTTTTTGTTCCTTCCTTTAATTTTTTTTATAAGTAGACGAAGGCTGATATATTGTTAATTAAACTAGAAAAGGTAGCTAAAGGCATTAAAGTTAATCTTGGTAACGTGACCTATTTAATCTTAAATTGCATTTTTGTTCTCGTTTAAAACTTCGTAATAATTTATGATCATATATCCGTATATTTCCTTAAAGATATAAGATGATAATAATAATAAATTAATATAACACAGCAAAAAATTAATAATCGACTAATTTTTTCACTTAAAAATTTATATTTTAAAAAAGTAATAATAAAAGAAAATATTTAATTTTCAATTTAATTTAATATTAAACATTTTAAGTAAAAAAAAAACTTTATTATATAACTTAAACCGTTATTTTGTATTAATTTACATGTGCTGCCATCTTGTATCGCTTTATAAAATAAATTTATAAAATTTTATTTTTAGTTTAAAAAATTAAATAAAATATTCATTTTATGTTTTAAAATTTTATAATTTAAATATATAAACGTTATAATATATTCGTTGCATATAAAATTAAATGTAATGTAATATGGTTAGATAAATTTCATTTTTTAAATCTAAATTGCTTGAATTCGAAATTAAATTTGTTTTATTTGAAAAATTATAATTTAATATTTTTACATCAAGATATAAAAAATCTGAATAAATTAAAACTTTATTTTAGATTAAAACGCGGGGGAAAAAATTAAATTAAATTTTCGATACTGATTGGTTAATTTAAATTTACGAAAAACCAATGAGAGAGCGTTTACGACTTTTGAATTTTAAACAGGATTAAACTCATTTCGTGCCATGTTATTTGATATTTTTATGTCAATTATTGAAACTATTGTAAACAAAGTTATCTGCGTGTTTAAAATGAATTTAACTTCCATTTTACTTTTTCGAATGATGTGTAATGTTAACAAGTCAGTAACCACAATGTTGAAAGGGGGGAGATCGTGCAGATGTAACTTTTCCTCACCTGCTCGACTGAAAAGCTGTACAACGACCTAATTTTGTGCGGGTCGTTACGAAAGAATCATGTTGTTCGATTGTCTCGAAACTATTTTCTTTGTCAAATATACAAACATCTGCTATTGGATACTAAACACGAACACGTGGATGTTCTTACATAAGAAATTGCAATGTACAATAGAAGAATAACTATAGACAGTATTGTACTTTAGCACAGTAGCCTACTAGCCTACTGTTTAAACAGTAAACAGGGGTTCAAATTTGCTAGAATTCAAAAGATTTTATTGTAGATCTGCTTTTATTTTCTACAATATACAGATTCTTGTTTGCTTCAATTATACATTAAAAATTAAACTTGACCAATGGAAAACATTTTAATTCTTTATTGGTCAATAGGAAGAGATTTCTTTATTCTTGTGAACAACAACATATTGAGAAAGAAAATGTCTCTATTTATATGTAAAAATAAATGAGATTTAATGTTTTGATATATTCAAATAGTCTTTTAGCTTAAAAAACGAGATATAATAGATTGATATAGTTTGGCATTTTAGGTTAACGCGGTTAATCTAAAATGTTACTTGGAGGAAGATATTTAATTTGATAGAAACTATAATAGCGAGATTGCGGCCGAAGTTTTCATCTCTCAAACGTGAACGTCGAACGTCGAGCACCGCTTACAAGATAGCGGCGCTCGACGTTCACAAAAATTCAGCTGCAACCTCTCTAATAAGTTTCTTTTACTTCAAAAGTTTATCTAGAATAACTCAAATATCAGTTAGAGATAATATTATTGAGAATTTTTAAAGCTTCTATATGGATTTTATATCCTTCTGGATGGATTCGGAGCTTCTGGTAATTTAAGAATTCTTCCTTGGTTTAATAAGAAAATATTACGGAGGAACTCGTCCCACATTCCCGATTAGTTTTTAAAGTAATAATAATATTTTAAAAGTTACTTCATTCAATGTTTAGATATTTATATTCTTATCCAACCAAAGAACAATGAGCAATCAAAGGATCATCGACTTCTTCATGAGACTTGCTGAATTTATATTGTAACATAATAAGGATTTCAAGAGCAAATTACAAAACGCACTTCTCAAATTCTATAAGCTTATCCAAGGCCTTTTAGAGCTCGAGGAAGGGCCACTCACATCTTTTGAGGTCATCAATAAGTAGGCCTACATAAAAAAAAAATTAAATAAATCAAATGTTTTCCCTTAATAATAAGTAAATGCGATGAATAATTTGTAACATGTTTTTGTGGCAGTAGTAAATATGAGGACCAAGAGAAATGGCTCTATTAATTAATTAAAAACTTGTTGCCAGGTAAATGGAATCAAGCTCTGAGAAAGCTTTAGAAAATTGTCACCATAGGTCAGTGTTTCTCAAACTTTTTTGTCAGGTGGCACACTTGAAATTATTAAACAAAATTCACGGCACCCCTATTATTATTATTATTATTCATTATTTTGCTTTTTACGGTTAGTAAAGATATGAAGGATGAGAAGACTGAAAAAAATAAAAGTTTTTTATTAAAGTAAGTAAGTTTATTTCCAAACAACACAAAAGCATTCAAAACAAAAGTTATTATTATAAAGGTATCTTTTAATTATTTATTTAATTTAATACTTTAATTCAATTATTTTAAGTAATTTTAATTTAATTATTTAAAAATTTCGCGGCACCCTTGTGGCGTTCTTGCGAACCCTAAGGTGCCGCGGCACCCGCTTTGAGAACCACTGGTCTAGAGCAACGGTGGGCAACCCGCGGGCCAGCTACGGCCCGCGAAGAGTTTCTATCCGGCCCGCGAGATGTTTAGAAGAAATTATAAATAAATATTTTTCGATGTAATTCGTCTAGTTTAAACTGAATATTATTTTCTGAAGTGTTGCGGCAGCAATGACAGGAAAAAATAAGGGAGTCATTTCCTTATTCAAACAAAAAATGGGAGAACAGAATTTTTCTAAATTATTTATAT